AAGATACAAGTCTAGAGAAGAGTCTCAACTAATCATCTCAATGTAAAGAAAATGCAAAATATAATTAATCAGATAATCAATACGATAATACTCAAAACAACATAGAACAATCTAATTTACAAAATACGCTTATAGATGATACAAACAAAAATAAGACAACAGACCTAATATCATCTAAATTACAAAAATGGTATATGAAATTTATAGAACACAATACATCTTATAATACAATAGCTAGTTATGTAAACTAGATGAGGTTCTGTAACCTTCTCTTAGCAGAGTCTAGGTTGAGGGTAAAGTAGTCCTAGTTTCGAGTTTCATATGATATAGTTTTTTATATATATCCCATTGTAACAAATGTATTACACATATTTTATATCAATAAAGGAACTGAGGCAAGACTTCACTCTTTAAAAAAAAAAAAAAAAAAAAAAAAAAAAGAAGAAGAAGATAAAACTAGGAGAAGAAATAACAAACAGTATTTTGTACTGAGACAAACACTTTAACACTCTCTCATTTCATAACTTGTTTTTGCAAACAACTTCTTATATCCTTTGAACAACAATACTAATATAACAACTATAGCTTTTTTTTATTTTTTTGATAAAAAAGTAGAAATTCTGACTCATCTCCAACAAAGGATCTACACTTGTACCATATTCTATTTGAGCAAGTCATGTCTTAATTGTTTACAAATTAATTAATATATGTGAAGCTAATATAGATCTGCTTAGTAAATAAAATAATAGCTAATAAGAAGTTATATATGAGATTTATAGTATATATATATTAGTACTATAAATAATTTTTAATTTTTATATCTTAGCATGAGCTATAATAGTATGTTCTATCTTAATTGTCTTTTTTTCTGCTTTTTTTTTCTACTTTTATTTTCTTTTTATACTTTCTTTTTTTTTGTATAAGCAGTAATTATCCTCACTTTTTGTTACTTTTCTCTTTATTTTTTTTGATATTTGTTTTTTTATTAGTTAGTTAGAACTTAATTCTTTCAGCTTAGAAAGCTAGAAGAAGAAGGTTAGAGAATTAGACAATCTTGATAAGAATAATATATATAGTAGTAACCTTCTGTTGATCAATTGAATATAATCTTGCTTAGGCAAGCTATTCTTTTGAGAGAAAAATTAGCTATTGTGATTAGATTGCATCTGAGTATTATTATAATAGCTGAGTGAGTTCAAACTTATATAGAAAGAATAATTATGTAGCTAGCTTTGCTAAGTTTATATTTTTTATTATAATATTATTATATATTTTCTTTTAATAAAGAAAGAGCAAGATTACTTAAATTCTAAAAAAAAACAAAAGTAAAATAATAGAACAGAAAGAAAAAAGTAAAGAAAAAAAGATTATTATAGTTTTAATATATATAAACAAAAAACAAAAGATAAAATAAGATATTGAATTAATAAAAAAATTATATAGTACTCTGAATAAATAAAGTCTTTACTTTAAATCTATTATATACTATAATAAAAGTAGTAATAGGTCTAGTAACTTAGTATAGTAGTTAGGTTGTCAAACTGCTATGTAATAAGTCTGGAGTTTAAATCCTACTATTGATGAATTTAAATAATTTTCTAGACTTTGTAATATATTATGATAAACCCTGTTCATTTTTAGTTATGTACTCCTGTAAATTAAGTTATACTAAATTAATCAGAACTTGGAAATGTAATATAATATTATATAAATAAATCTTAATAGAATATATAAGTAGAGGATCTGTATAGTAGAAATCCTAAGTTAGTAAAATAGTACAGTCTTCTAATAAGATTATATTAGCTAAAGTCTGATTTGAAAAGAAAACTCAGTCTAATAAAGGTAGAAGGTTTCAAGGCTTCTGGGTGAAGAGTAACTGAGACTGGCTAGATACTAAAAAAGAATTAGGTCAACTGACTAGTGGAGAACCACAGTAGAACCTGAGGTTATATAAATATCTACAAGAGTCTAAGCTAAGTGAATCTGTAAAATAGATACAGACCAGGACCTGAATAATATTAATAAGGGTAGTATTATTAAATTGGACAAAAATTCTTAAATTATTTTAAAAAGTTATATTACTAAAAAGGCTTTTTGAATAAATCTAGTATTATAAAACTAGAATTAGTAAAATAAGGTTGTATATCTAAAAGTGACTATATTTTTATTGAAACAAATATCTAATATTTTAAAAAAATCTATATCTGATCTAATAATCAGAAGTATTATTTCAAATTTTGGCCCAAATTAAGCTTAATGCAAGCAAAATTATATCTGAACATCAAATTCTCCTATAATTGACTAGATAATTTGTAATAAATATGTAAGGATAGATTAGTTCAGTCTAATCTGTTTTAGTTCTCAATAAGACCAATATATTCGGTCTTAAAAAAATAGTCCTTGTTATTTAAAATACTACAGTTTTATTGGCTAGTAGAGAAACTTAAATCATATGATATTAGTAATCAATTATGTAGTATACTTTTTTTTAATAATTGTAATTTGATATTTTTAACTATTTATGAAGACTGGTCTGAACTAATGTTGTTAGTCAAAATTGTTTTTGCTAATGTCAAAATTTGTTTAAATTAAATTGTCTAAATGTCTAAATATCTAAATTCATTTTTTTAATAGTAATTTTTAAAAAAAATAACAAAGTCAAAATTGCCTGAATTCAATTTGTCTAAATACCTAAATATTGAAATAATTTCGACTAACAATATTAGTTCGAACTAGTCTCAATCAAGACTGAATAACTATAGGACTAGTTAAAAGACTGATCCTTATTCAGTCTTTTCGGAACCTGTCTATTTTTATAAATATTCAAATTTTATTATCTTAAAAATTTATTTGTCAGTAAAGTTTCATGACTTACTATAGTAGTATCAAAAGCTTTTCTGTAGAAGTTTTGTAGCCAGAAGTTTTTTACAGTCAAAACCTTGTTGTGAACTAAAATTATGAGCAATTAAAGGTTTAATAGTAGTCAAGAAGTTTGTGTAATTAAAGTTTCACCTTAATAAGAAGCTAAAAAGCTTGCTGGAGTTAAAAATTAAAACTCTGTATTTAGAGCTTTTACTGTAGTCAGAAGCTTCGCCATAGTTGAAGAAAAAAAATAAAAAATAAAAAAAAAAATAAAAATTTTGTTATAATCAAAGGATTCTGTAGTTAAATAGGTACTTATTGTTGCAATTAAATTTTCTTGATGAATTTAGACTTATTGTTCACTCTAACTGAATTTTCACAGTCTGATAATGAATTGCCAGACTATTATGAAGCATCTGATGACTATGAAACAACAGATGATGAACATTTAAATAATGAATCAGTTGTTTCTGAAGAATATATATCTAAAAAAAAATGGAATTATAGAATGAATTTAAAAACTACTATAGAAAAGGTAAGAATAGTATTAAATATGTTATTTATATTAATATCTATTTAATTAGTTTTATATTTTAGCAAGCAGAGTTGGCCAATCATCTAGATATACTCGAAATTTTAAGTCCACTATATGTACAATACAAACATTGCAAAAAAATAATTAAACTAAAAAGAAACTATGATAAATCATGAATTAAATCCTATATGTCTAATAACAAATATATTAAGAACAAAGGATTTTAAGATTTGAGAAAATTCTTTGCAATTTCTAATTTTCAAGATGAACTATCACATAAAAGATATCTATATTCTGAATTATGTGACGAGAAACATCTTAAATATATTGAATGAGTTGGTAGTTTTGCAGTATCTGGTGGAGCTTCACTTGTCAAAACAGTAGCACAAGAACTTTTTCTAGCTAAGTTTACTAAAAATACAAAATTTTCTTATTCTAAGCTTAGTTTTGATCAATCAAAAAGACTTAATGATGAACTATTAGCAAGGTCTAAGTGGAGAATTAATCAAAAATATTTATATATATATAGTTTAGTATATAAAATATATATTAACCAAATTGAACATTATGCATAAAATATATCTTACTTACAAAGAATCTAGTTTTTAAGGTAAATTTTGATTATTTGAATTTTTTTTTTTAATTTTTTTTTAAATTCAGCAGTCATGCAAAGACTTTATTTAGATTTGCTTTCTGTTTGAAAACAATATTATTTAGCTATATACTATCTAACGTCTAATTTTTTAAGCCTTGACTCATCTGGTTATTCCAAAGATACCTATGTGCGATTTGCTATAGTAATCTTTGTCCTATACTAAGGTAGCTTTTTTTTTGATTTATATTTATATTTATTTATTTATTTTTATATATCTTCTAGAATGCACTTTCTAAACCTATGCCAAAACCAGAAAATTGACATTTCATATCAAAATTTTATTTTAGAAACAATTTGATTTTGAAATTTCTTAGAAATCTACATATAAAAGAACTCTGGACTTCAATTTCTAATACCAATGAAAATAACTCTATGCTATTTTGGTTAAAATTAGCTAAGAAAGGTTTAAATGGAGTATTTGAATCAAAAACTACATTTAAAGGATTATGTGAAATAATGATACAAATAGCTCAACATGAAGATTATAGCAAAAACATTCAAAATTTGAAATATTCTAAAATATTATCCATTTTACAGCTGTACTTTTCAGTCTAAGTCTAAAAGCATATGATTTTTTTCAAGCTAATTTTGCAGAACAAACATTATGAAATATTAGATATTAAATTGTTATTTTATTTATGATATTGAAATTTTTAAGGTTGTAGATTATATAATGTATAATCTTAAGTGGTTAAAATATTTCTTGTATAGGCTCTTGTATCAAAAATCTGGCGAGTGCATGTCTGACACAAATATATGTTTAGAAAATATAGCATGCTTTAAAAGATTAGCTGATTCTATGAACTATAATAGGCCAGTTATTGTAATGACTGATAATACTAAAGTTTATCCTCATCTTAGCTATTCTGCAAATCTTGGATATATTATTAGTTCTATTTTTTCACTTGATCAAACACTAGTTAATGATTATAATGAAGCAGAATTAGTTATTCAAAATATAATTTTGAACAATGCAATAGCAAAGCAAGTTCGTTTATATTTACTTCAAGTAAGTATTTATATAGCTTTGAATTTATAATTTACTAAACTCGATTTTTAAATAATAGTTTGGTAAATTATAAATAAAAATATGTAAAGTTTAATTTTTTTAGCTATTACTTATTTACAATTTATTTACTTATTTCTTCTATTTTATTTATTTATTTTATTTTTATTTATTTATCTATTTTTATTTTTTTAAAAAAATAATTAAACAGGTCTGGCGATCTTAGTGTAGTGGTTAGGTTGCCAGACCGCCATGCAAGAGGTCTGGGGTTCAAATCCCACTGT